ATTTTATGATTGACTTTTTTACCACTTAATTTATTACCAATTTGTGCGAAAAACTGATTGAAGACATCAGCTTCAACTTCTATTTTGGCAGATGTTTTGCTTTGTATGAAATCGTTATATGCCTGAAAAATACTTTTATTGTTTTTCGATTTTTCGATTTTTTGTTGGTAAAATTTTAGTTTCGAATTTCTTTTTAGCGATGTGGTTAAATTTCGGGACAATTTATATTTTTCTAAATTTGTCGGAGTTGGATCAATTATCCATTTTTTGTAGAACATGTTTCTCTTTTGCATTTGCTTTTTAATATCCTGGGTAATCCAAGTTGGTTTTGCTTTATTATTCACCTGAGATAATGGGCAAAATTTATCTAAAATACGTGTAAAGCTGTTTACAATGTAAGTTATCTGCTCATCAGCGTTTAGTGAACTTTGCATTTTATTGAGTTTTTCATGTAGTAAGAAAAGGAAATCCACCAGGTTTTTGTCATTTTTCAATGGATTTATGTTTCGGAAAACGCTCTGTGTTTTAATGTCATTTTTACTTTAAAAGTCATCAATTTCAAGTAAAATTGAGTAATGGTCACTGATTACAGTTTTTAAAGTATTTATTTTGTTCAAACAAGACTTGGTAAAAATATAGTCAATACAAGACTGACTTGAAGATGTAACACGTGTGGGTTCAAAGTTGCGTTGGAGAAACCCATATGAGTTCATTAATGTCAAAAAATTCTCACTAGTGATTGAAGCATCAAGTGAATCTATGTTAAAATCACCACATATTATTGTTCGGTTTTTCCAAGTAGCCACCGTATCCAGGAAAGATTCTAGCTTTTCAAAAAAATCGTTTAGTGCAGAAGATGGTTTTCTATACAAAACAATAAAAATTTTCGAATGTTTTTCATTTTTAACAGATATAGCTAGAAACTCAAGATCTGATTCCAATTGCAATTTTGACACCTTTAAATCCGATCTAACGAAAAATGCACAACCACCTCCGCGAGTACCTTTTCTGTTAGTAGTTATTATAGGTTGGTAGCCTTTAACTGAATAAATTGATAAGGGATCATTGTCCGTTAGCCATGTCTCGCAAAGGGCTATTATTGGTGGCTTAACCTCAAAGTCGTCAATAAGAATTTTTAACTCATCATAATGACATCGCAAAGATCTAATATTCAAGAAAAAAAGAAAACTGCTATTTAATACGCCCACTTGTCTCCCCTCTAGGAGTTCTCGATAATATAATTTACTCATTTATCAACAAAAATAAGAAACAGAAAAAATTAGGCGCTGACTTGCAAGCCACGCTCAAACATTCTTGTATGCTTCATCAATCCCAACCCCATAGAGCATGCAAGAATGTATGAATAACTATGAACCTTCCTCGTAGGGATTTACAACATGTTCTGAAAGAGTTTTTCTGTTTTTGCATAATTGCTCCAATAATTGTTCTCCTTCTTGCTCTGGGGAGTCACGTAATCGCTTCAGAATAGATTTAATATTCTCCGCCCGTTGAATATTATTTGCTCTGATTGGTGTCGTATTTCTTTCATAATCAGATACATTATAATTTTCCGTAGATTTTCCAGTTTTCGACTGAAATTTGTCAGGTTTCTTAGTCGCTAAGTGTTTCATATCATCAATCGCCTTTTTCGAACTAACGGGAAAAGATTTGTAAATTCCTCTGTCGTCCATTTTAAACATTTTATCCTGACAATTCTGACTGGTATTTACAAGACCCAAATCATCAGCGTACTGTTTGAGTAGACGGTCTGCTGGTGGAAGCCTTTCCTTGAGAAAAATTTGTTTGTTGTTATTCGGGTTTCGAATGTTAGCCAACCAAGATTTTCTGTTGTAGATTTCATTTTTTTCCCCAAAATATAAAAATTTAACTATCACAGCTGGGGGATAATTGATATTTTTCCACGTTCCAAGCAAGTGACAGGTTTTAAAATTACTCGGGCTAGTTTTATACTGAAGAAATTGGGCCAAAAAATCGCATACCTGATGTGACAACGGTACCTGATTGTTTACTTTTGGCAGGTTCTCCAAAATTAGGCAATCCTTAGAAGAATACCTTTCCTGTGCAGATATTCTTTGCTCCAAATCATCCACTTTGTTCTCAAGATCTAGAATAATCTCATCTTTTTTGCCCAGATCCGTCAATAATTTATCGAAAATCTGTCTCACATTGGTGTCGGAAATCTTTTCCAGCATCGAGGAATACATATCTTTCTCAAAACGTGATCCCATGTTAAAGGAACTCTCAGTTAAAAACATAAGTTTGGAATTAATAGTAAAGAAATTTCACACGTACAGAAAGAATTGAGAAATTCGAAGCAAAACAATTTGTTTAAACGCGGCAAGAAAAAGCGACTATTCAGCGCTGCTCATTTCGTTTACTCATCAAAGAAATTGCTGCTCATCAAGGAGAAGTTTTGTCATGTTTTTACACGCTTTCTCAGTGACTACGACGAAACTGGGCAGCCTCATAATTTTTTATTAGAGTGGGCGGAAGCTCTTTTTTTTTTGTAAATCCGGAAGGTTGACGCAGAGATTGGAGGACGACAATAACTCTTGAGTCCTTGATGACTTGTTGGGCGGAGCAGGCAAAACTCAATAAATAGTTGCCCGCAAGAGGTCGGCGACACTGTTTACCGGCACCTTTTTAGCATTGCAATAAGAACACTTACCACTTACATTGCTTTTAATAACTAAACCTTTTTTGTGTCCAAGTTTCAGGTTATTAGAACATCAACTGGCTCATTTGTTTTCCCAACCTAACTTGCACATTGAAGTGCAAAATTCCTGCTCTGATATCATGCAATTCCATGTTTTATAGCAGTTGGTTACGCTGCTTGGTATTTAATACCCAGGTCGAGGTCTCAGACTCTTGTTTAGACTTTGAGGGTCGCGCCGCATCCGGATTTAGGCCCATACTGCATAGTCGCACCGAGAGTTTGAGTCTAGAAAATCTGGACCTGATTCGCGCCGTGAACCTCGAAAGTCTGGACATACCAAAATTTGGTCGCGAAATTCTGTAAACAAAGGGATGAGTGAAATTCCCATAAACAAGTCAACCCTTTAAAATCAAAGACGAAATGTTACTTATAGTAGAAGATTCGCTGATCATTTTGTACAAAATGAGGCAATATGTATACAACTCCCCATTCTGAGGGTAATTTGTGGTAAAATGTTGAATTTGAGTTTAGAAATGATGTTTAGAGTCTAGTCTGATGCCATAGTACTCGTCACAAGGTTCCATCCTGAAGCGGATATTTATTCTGTCTTAGAAATCTTTCCAATATAGTTGAAACGGGCTCTTTGTCATAAATGCTACAGTACAAAGTTTTTCACTTTATACTATATTTAACGTGTTGGGGTATGATTTAAAAAAATACCAGTATTATTATTTTTTTTAAATTTAAAAACTTCTTTAACTTTTTAAGCTAACACTAAATCATAGAGCTTAAAAGGCAATCGGATTATTCAAGGCTTTGCTTTTTTGAATGTTTACGATCCAAAAAAAGTAAAAGACAGTCCGTGAATCAAAGTAAAACAACAGAAATTTTGATTTAACAAGTTTTTAAACGTCATTGAGCTAACTAAATTCCGTGGTACACTAAAATTTACAATCATACAAATTCAATAAAAACAAAACTTCGTGTCGTATGTTTCTGTCCAAAACTACAACAAGGTTGCTCGTATCATGTCGAAGCCCTTAATGTTCCGACTAGCTTTTTTGGCCTATGGAGCAGTGTTCTTCTAAAAAAAACGATTAATTTTTCAGTAAAAAAAAAGAAAAATTTTAGAGATTTTTATCGCCCCACACAATAAAAAAAATTGATATATTTTGCTCCTAGTAACGTAGCAATTTTAACAAATAGCCTGATTTAACTAATTTGGAACGAGTTCTAAGACGGATTAAATCTCCGCTTAGGCGTTAATAGCACGAAATTTATCGCGCGTTCCACTTCCCAAATTGACAATCTTCAAACCGACATAACCTTACGAAAAATGAGTACAGGTGAAATTCCTTTTTACAATTGCGCTTGGGACAACAATAATTTTTGGATGATATAGAACAATTCCTCTAAGATAGGCTGGTTACAAGATTGAAGTTTGTCTGGAGAAAAAATACTGCCCCGAGCACAATTTTTCCGTCACTTTCTTCGAAAGCCGGGACAATAACCAAGGTTTTTATAATTTTAAGAATTACAGAGTCTAAGTACCAGTAATCACAGATATGAAGTGAATCTAAAATTTGCTTCATAGTTTAAGGTCTCAACTCTCACTCAAATCTGTGTAAGAAATGTAGTTTTGTTTAAAGGTTAAAAAGCTTTTATTTCGAAAAAACAGATTTTTGTCTCCAATTTAAGTTTCATCTAACTTCAACAAAAAATGTATGATTTTGGCTATACAGAAACATTTTCAGTAAATTTGGTCGCCCTCTAGTATGCAAGCCTCTTTTTCCTTTTCCCCCTGCTTCACATATGTATCAATTTTATGTTGTACCGAGGAGTTTTACAAGGTTAAGCATATAGACCAAATATGTTTGTCGTAGCCTATTTAGACCGCATATGTTTTTCGTAGCCTAATTAGTCCGCATACCAATTTTCATAACAATCCAAAATTGTGAACAAAATTTTACTGAAAAAATTTCACTGGTGGGGGGGGGGGGGAAGAGCCAAATGCGATGAAAGAATATGAACTGTTTGTTTTTTTTCCATAATTTGCTGGGGGAGAGACCTTTAATAGAAGAGAGTGCAAGAGTCCTTATGTGTTATATACAAAATATACTCCAATATGCATTACTTATAGTTTGCGCAAACATGTTTGTTTTGGCCATTGATTGAAAGCATCTGGCGTTCTTACACCAAACCACTATTGAACACATTAAAAACGTACCTTCAAATTTTTTGTACCATGCATTTTTCGTCAAATGTTACCTGCGCAACAAATCAACGCACGTGTTTTGCAAAACAAACCAATTTTAATCTCTGCTCGTGCGTTTTTTTCTCTTTTTGTTATTAAACATTTATTCAAACATAAAGCAACCAACGTGAACCACGCTTCTGCGCTGCAACCATTTACCATTTTCATAACTAACGTTCGTACCATCAAACCAAGTATATCCCAAAACAACAGCCAGCGGATTTCGTATTTTCCAGCCGTTTCAACCGGATTTGAGAGCAGATAGTTACTGATTCCAGTGAGTATTTTACGAGCAGAAAAGGTTTGCTTCTCTCTCAGAAAATCAGCTCTAAATCTAATTTGCTATTCTATTTTTTATTAAACTCAAGTTTGTGATGCATTTTATTATTTTAGACATAAGTTTTTTTTAAACTAAAAACTGCTTTTTTGTTTGTAAATAAACTATCGATTTTTAAATTGCTATTATTTTAGTTTGTAAAGAAACACTTAAGGAAAACTGGCAAACAAGTTGGGCTCTTTTCCCTTCCCTTTTCAATTTCAAATTCGAAAAGTAACTTTAACATTGTTATAATGCAATTAAACTTGACATGTTGAACAAATTAAAGATTGCGACAAACTTTTTCTTTATTCTATACATAGTAACATCACGCATTTAGCAGTAATATCAGATAAAAACAATCATGAAAATAGAAATTTTGACAAGAAGGAAGGGGATGGAGAAAAGTTGAAAAAATGAAGAAAAAAGTTGTTCTCAATCTTCAATTTGTTCAACATTGGGCAACTGGAAAAATCATAAAATGTTCAAAACTACGGTGATTTTTCGTTAGGATCCTAGAGCCGATTTTTTAATTGCTACTTTGGCTCTTTTCCAGCTCCCCCCCCCCCTTTTAAATTCAATTTTGAAATGCTTATTTAACATTGTCATAATGCAATCAAATTTGGCGTGGTAAACAAATCGGCAATTGTGAACAGATTTGTTCTTCATACTTTACAGCGTAACATCACGTATTTAGCCGTAATAACACTTAAAACAAACATAAAACTCGGTATTTTGAAGGGGGAAACCTGGAAAAGAGCCGCTACATTTTTTCTTGACCCTGAATCGACTTCTCGTCAACTCCTTCTCCGCCTTGTTATTAAATAATTGGCGTATATGATTTGTAATGTTCAATAAATTAGCATGAATGTCATGTCACATACATTTGAAACTTGGTAATCAATCTGCTCACATGCCAATTTATGTCACCGTTTGGATAACATGGAGAAATTTTTTAAATCTGAATCACCAGCGAATTAGTGAGGGGGCATTGGGACGGGTGCCTCTTTTTTCTCAGGGATTCGAAACCCTGTCGACCCAAAGGGTCCCCGCTTTGTACTATTGGCTCTTTTCCAGTTTCCCCCCCACCTTTCAAAATACCGAGTTTTATGTTTGTTTTACGTGTTATTACGGCTAAATGCGTGATGTTACGCTGTAAAGTATGAAGAACAAATCTGTTCATAGTTGTTGATTTGTTCACCATGCCAAATTTCATTGCATTATGACAAGGTTAAATAAGCTTTTCAAAGTTGAATTTGAAAGGTGGGGGGGGGGGGGGGGAAACTGGAAAAGAGCCGTACTATTTTGAGATATCCAATTTTGGCTGACGGACCTTAAATTTTTATAAAGGCGCCTTGGGCGCCAAGGCTCTTTTCCAGTTTCTCACCCCCTCGTAAAATTACAAACCGAAACTAATCAAAAATTGTTCACACGTCGATTTTTATGTTGTAGAAATTTGTTCACCTGCTCCCGCTAATGCAGTTTATAACATGAAAAGTCACTTTAAACAGACTTTCACATAATGAATTTCAGAAAAAAATATCTTTCCCAAAAACACGATTTTTTAATTAAAGCTTTTCGAAAATTGCCCAAACGCTTTTTTTGGCCAATTTTTACTACTGTTTGCTTCTCTAGAATCATTATGGGATTTACTATTCAAACGTGAACAAAAAATTAATTTTAAAATATTCTTAATTTTTCTAGCAGAAACGGAATAAAGAGAGCTGTATTGTTTTTTATTTCTTAGTAGCGTGTTTCAAGACGTATCGACCGGCAGCGAAGACAGACAACAAGAAGCTGAGCAAGATGTTGGAACTGAAGAGTGCGTTGAGGGACTTCGACGAGGAGAAGAAGAAGATGACTTTTCCCAAGAGGAAGGAGACAGAGAATGCATTTGGCAGAGAGGTCAACAACCCCTGCTTCAAGGTCAGTCTACTAGTCTCAAGGTTCTAACCAAAAGCGATTGAAATTATCATCGATAATATTTGGCAGTTTCCAGTTTGCCATCTTTTGTGAGTCTTTGGGCTCCTCTCTTCTTCTCCCACATTTGAATTTCAAGTTCAAAAAAAATAAGTGTAGTCATAATGGGCTCTTTTTCCTTTCCCCCCCCACCTGCAAATTTTTACATGTAAATTTGTTGACCACATTGTCCGATTGTTATGAAAATTTACAGACTAATAAGGCCATGACAAACATATTTGGTCTTCATACTCAACCTCGTAAAACCACTCGTTGCACTAATAAGTTGAAAAAGAGCCTCATAAGTGGAAAAAGAGCCTCATAATGCAATGAAAATGGCATGGTGAACAAATTTATTGTTCCGACTTTCGATACGAAAGTAACGGAATATTTGTGCTCGGGTGGGTTTTTTTTTTTCTTCAGACAAATTTCGACTATTTAACTAGCCATTTTCGACGGAATTTTTTTTATATCATTCAAAAGGTATTGTTGTCCTGAGCTCAAATTTGAAAAGATATTTCACCTGTGATCATTTTTCGTAAAGTTACGGGGGTTTAAAGATTGCCATTTTGGTCAATTTGGGACAATTAACGCGCGATATATTAGCGCTATTATCGCGTAAGCGGAGAGTTAATCCGTCTTAGAAATCGTTCCAAATTGGTTAAGAGAAGCTTATTTGCCATAATTGGTTTGTTACAAGGAGCGAAAACTATCTTTTTGTACTTAATATGGCGTGTGGGGGGATGATTTTCATAACAAAATTTAAATTTTAGAAAAAAAAAATTTTCATTTGTTTTATTTTATTGAATTTTTGAATGTTATTACTGCTCCCTAAACCTTATAGGGCAGTCGGAACATTCAGGGCTTTGCCCTGATACGAGCAGTCTTGTTCTTTTTTATTTACATAGTATCATCACGCATTTAGCCATAATGACACGTAAAAATTGAAGAAAATTAGAAACTTGGAATTCGCGGGAAAGTGGAAAAGAGCAAAGCTTTTATTGAGAAAAAAACGGCTCTTTTCCAATTTCCCACCCCCCGTAAAATTGCAAACTTAAGCTGTTAAAAAGTTGTTCTAACGGCAGTTTGCATGGAAGAAATGGTACAAAAAGTTGTTAACCTGTTCACGCTCACACGTTTTGATGCAGTTTCTATCAAGAAAATAATTTTTAATAGACTTTCATACAATGAATTTTTAATAGACTTTCATGAAACGAATTTCAGAAAAAATTAAAGAAAGTAATTGGAAAAAAGCCACAAAAAAAATTGCGGCTCTTTTCCACTCCCTCTCCAACCTTTTAACTTCAATTTAAAATTTTAAAAACTATTTTAAAAGAGTCATAATTCAATATAATTTGACATGGTGAAAAACTAACAGTTGAGAACAGATTTGTTATTCATGCCTTACATCCTAATTTTCAGCGTTCAGTCATAATAAAATCTAAAAGAACTACAAAATTGAAAATTTAAAAGGCGGCGGGGGAGTTGAAAAGAGCCCACATAAACATTTTAAAAAATCAAAATTTGAAATGACGTGGAAGTGAAAAATAACCAATTGTTTTCACAAATTTCCCAATTTTATTTTGTAAAACAAATCCAAACCTACAAATTAACACGGAAAAATTGCGAACTAACGTACGAATATATATTTTTTCACTTCTGAACATGAAGTCTAAAATAGGGCAACATTCTAATAGAGGAAGCAAGTATAAAAGTAAAAAGAAAACGCCAAATACAACCATAAAGTTATTCTGGGTTTTTTCTTTTACAGTTAAAAATATCCTCAATAGTTTTCTGTTTTGCCGTGTTCAAAAACGGCCTATCCAACCCTCAATCTCTTTGTTTATTTTAAAAATGTTGTTCAGACTTTTATATAATTCGTGATGATTTTTTTGTTTATTGTTTTTCATGAAAATCATTTACTTTTTGCGGTTTGATTTTCATTTTAAGAAATTTCTTCTTAAGATCAATTCAATTGTTAAAAGGAAGGCAAACTCCATTATCCAACAAGAAAAGCGTGAAAATTACGAATACCTTCTAGTTTCGAAAATGGAGTTTATTGTTCAGATTTCTCAGTGAAAAAAATACTTATCGTTTCAGTTTTCCCAGATCGGGTTAGTTTTTATCAAGATAGTGGCAATCATAATTTATTCTAGGCCTTTTGTTTTTTGTTTGATTTTTGAAAGATGACATTGAAAAAAGAATCATGTCAGTTTTTTTCGCAGTTTACTTTGCAACTGTCTGGTGGCTATGTTAATTTTTAAATTTTATTATGTGCAAAACCAACCATTATTGTTGTATTAACATGAAATTGCTGTCCTCTTTTTCATATAATTATTTGTATCTTTATCGTTTCTTTTTCCCAGCTGAGGCCTCCCCCAAAGACAGACTGTTTCACCACTCTTCCCCAGGGCAAGAGGACAGAGTTCGCCAAGTTCTACGAGAGAAACGACTTCCCCATGCAAGTTGAACACGACACCAAGGGCAACAAAATCGCATGGAAGGTCAGTTGATTTCTCAATTTGCCAATGAACACAGATATATATTTTTTATTTTTTTAACCAAATAAAAAAATGCAATTTTTTTCTTTCAATTTGACTTTCAAAAATGTTTTTAATTCGATTGACTAAAACTACATTTGTTTTGGAGAAGTCGAATTGCATCTGCGTGCAAGCATCGGAATTCAAAACCGAGTTCCAAGGTTGGAGTCAATTAAAAAATGGCATGATCGAGAACCGAACCTTTGATCACCTGTTTATTTTGTTGTAGGTCGAGATTGAGAAGATGGACTTCCACCACTACCTACCCCTGTTCTTCGACGGACTGAAAGAGAGACAGTTCCCCTACAATTTCTTCGCCAGACAGGGCATCCATGACATGCTGGAACACGGGGGCAACCGGATATTGCCAGTGGTGCCACAGCTTATCATACCCATTAAGGGTCAGCTATTCAGCTAGTTAAAAACAAAACGAATTAAATGTTTCAACAAAAAACTTAAATAGCTAGGAAAAAAAACATTTTTTGCACTTTTTAGGCAAAGAAATTTTTCTTCAAAGAACTTCACAAAGAATCGAGTTTTTTTGACACGTGAAAACTTTTAATATGGCAAAACTTTCGGTTATAAAAACTTTTAAGAATCACAAACAGTTTTTCTTATCCTTTTTGATGTGTTCAGAGGCTCTTGAGACGCGTGACCACCAGATCATGTGTACGACTCTGAAGATCTTGCAGCACCTGATAGTGAGCGGGGAGATGGTGGGGGAAGCACTGGTACCCTACTACAGACAACTCCTCCCCATCCTCAGACAGTTCAAACAGCATAACAGTACGTCTAGCACTATCTCGATTCCAAGTTCAAAATAGAATTCTATATTTAAGATGATTCATATACAAGGGAAAATAGCAGTATACGTGCTTTTCAGCGCTTTAAAGCGAAGCGATGTTATGCACCTGGTTAAGAACTACGTGCAAGGTTTTTAGTGATTTTTCTGGGCTGCGTAATAAAGCCTCACCCATAAACAACAAGCACGGATCATGTTTCAATTGTTGGTGCAAGGGAATAATCTAATTAGCCGAAACATTAAGATGCTGAATATTCAAAATCTTTCACGCTCTTCAAAATTATTATAATCAAGGAAAAGTTTTTGAAATTTTGGATTTATTTGAATTTTATTGGCAAGATTAGCCATAGCCTTTTCAAGTTCAATTACTTCATCGGCCCAGAAACTTAGCCATAAAAATGGCATGTAGTTCTTACCAAGGGGTTCAAACAACAGCGGTTCTCTGCGAGGAGCTCATTAGCTTTGAAAGTTGGTCGTTTCGTTTTTGGTCTCGTATGTTGATCATAATATAGTTTAATCCAAAAATGTTGCAAAAAGACTTTGTCGTTTTGTTTGTGCAGAGAACCTAGGGGACAAGATAGACTACAGTCAGCAGAAGAGGGAAAATTTGGGAGACCTCATTGAGGAGACACTGCAGGGATTCGAACTGCACGGGGGAGAGGACGCTTTCATCAACATCAAGTACATGGTCCCCACCTACGAGAGCTACATGCTCAACTAACAACACAACTACAACACCCCCCACCCGCATCCCTCCCTACTCCAGCTACAACGAACTGTCCAAAAACTTAACGTCTATTCCATCTTTATTCCATCTTTAAAACACTTGTCCGAATTTCAGTCAAAATTACTCGCGAAAACCCGAAAGAATGACCAGCGACCAGTGTTGCCAAAAAACACCAAAGCGGCATGCTCTCAATTGTTTTTATTCTGGTCCAAATTTCCTATAGTTAAAAGTTAAAATCTAGTCAAATTCTAATTCGCTTTTAGTGTTATTTTATTGAACTCCTGGAAGCGTTACTTTAGTTGATGAGATATTTTTCTAAACAGTGATGTGATTAATTGTTCTCATTTGCTATTTGCTCGTACAATCTGCAATAGATTATTTGGTTGAAATTTATGTTGTGCGGACCGGTGAAAATAATGAATTAGGCTATTTAACTGTTTGTAGCAGTTTTTTTGACATTTTTAAGCAAAACACCGAAACCATGGTTTAAATTTGGATTACTGGTAAAAATTTGAGACATTTTCCATCTCAAGGTACGAATATCTTCAATTTATTATTTTGTTCTTTGGGAACTCCATGGATTGAAGATTTTTTTTCCCCGAGTAACTTTTTTCAAGGATACGAAAATGCTTAAGAAGAATTCTTTTTTATAAATTACCTAGGGTATTGCAAAATGGTGAAATTCTTCATTTTTTGTTATTCAGACACCTTGTCTAAAACATTTTTGTTTTGATCAAATTTGGTATTTCACAAATTCAGCAGTTTCAGCTAAGGCAAACTAAAATTTTTTAAAACAGTGTTAATTGCGAATCAAAAACGAAGCAATAGTATAAGTGGAACTGGTAAGAAACGCTCTTTTCCACTTTCCCCCCACATTTCAAATCTTCCATTTTTTCATTTTTCTTACGTATTATTATGGCTGAACGCGTGATGTTAGGAAGTAAGGTATGAAAAACAAGTGTGTTCACAATAGTTAGTTTGTTTAGTTCGTTAGTTTGTTCCATGCGAAATTTCATTACATGGTAATGGAACCTGATCTAAACTATATTTTATGATTGGATAAATTAGATATTTTACCACTGTAAAGTATTTAATATTAACCAATCATGATCCATCTAACTAACAACCCACTTATTTGTAAGTGCTGAAATTACTTGTAATTTCAGCACCAAAGAGATTTGAATTTAACTTAGAAATTAGTTGTCTCTCCAAGAGAACTTCAACAGCCGCAACAAACCAGTATACCCTAGATCTATTGAGCCTAGCAGAGACTAGTTAAACACCCTGAGACTAGAAAGTATAAGAGTAAGATTAGGATCGGTATTAGACTAAGAAGTTGCACGAATCTATCCGGCCGAAAATAAGATAGCGTGACGAGCAGACGGTGTACCCTATCCGAAATTACTCTATGAGTTAACCACATCGGTCATAACTCATCTGGTGCGACCATAAGTCTCGAATAAGACCTTAATAGCTTAGAACTAACCAAAAATAGATTAGAATTTAGACAAAACATTTTCAAAATGTTATACGATAATAATTTAATTGAAATGTCTCTACGACTCAATAGATCAGAGCCGATATTCCGAACGATAATAGAACTACCCGGAATTGGAAGAAGACCTCGGACAAGAGACGACATACGACAAAGTAGAAACTTACCATTTAGTTTTATGATTGTACGGCAAAAGCCAACATAAACTTTTGTATTTAGAATCTTATTAGCAATGAATTTAGATTTTCATTTTCAATTTAGATTCTTAATTTCTGCAGTATTATATAAAACATATTTGAAAAATATTTATTAAAAAAAAAAATTAGTAGCATGACAATAAATTGTTTATATGAATAAATCATCCTGTTGTTCCAGCTTCATCACCTAAAAATAACAGCAATCATAAATCAACTAATATCATCAAAAACTAAAACTTTTTATCAAATAAATTTAAATTATTTCAAATTTAATTTTATTTGATCATAAACCAGATCATCATGGCTTTCCTTGGATCTAAATTAATTTTCTATCTTATAAATTTTAAATTCTGATCATCAAGGTTTTCCTTGGATCTAAATTAATTTTCTATCTTAAAAAATTTAAATTCTGATCATCAAGGCTTATCCTTGGATCAAAAAGAACAATTTTGTTCTCCCCCACCCACTTATCAAGTGTCTAACGACCTCAAACGTCGATTCACTATCCAACCCCTCCAAAAGACCCAAGATTAATAGAAATTTTTAAATAAAACTAACCATCCAAATTAAGATAAACAGTGAAGAACTCCGGTTACTCATCCTTCACTTGAACCCTCCTCTTACCAGACCCAGGATAGATCTTAGACTTAGTAAGTTTAAAATAGTATCTAACGAACTACTTGCGTTCTAATTATACCTGAACCTTGTGGATCGATTTACTATTCTCCAACCCTTGAACACAATCACTACCCCTAAGTAAGATTAAGTAAGTTAACACCTTAGCTTAGACTAGCCACGAGAAAGTAAAAAATCTTTCTTCGGAATCGATATACTTTTCTCTCCAACCCTAAATAAAAAGACCCAGGTTAAGCTAACCAAAAAATTGTAAGGACTAACAGTCTAAGAAAATAGAAATACCTAACAACTTTTTGCATCCCTCATCCTAAACCTTATGTCATTCAAAAATCTAGGAAATAAACAAACAATCGTTTTACACAACTGTGAAATAGATAACAAAAAATACGATCTTGTCATCACACCTCATACACAAACAGTTGGATACATTAGAACAAAACGACAAACAATAAAAAGAAAAATTATAAACAAACAAAGACAAATCACACGAATAAGATTTTCAAAAAATAGAAACGCATTTTCAGAATCAGAAGCCAGCAATTTAGATGAATTCTACAAATTAAAAGAATCAATTGATGAAAATTGTCCAATTCACGATCAATTATATTTTTCCGATTCAGAAACAACTTCAAACTCATCAAAAAGAAGAAAAAGAAGAATAAAAAAGCAATACGAACACAAACCAGTACACTTGTATAATTGGAATCAACCAATTAGACACATCGATAGCTATATATTAACAGTCATCAAACGAAAAAATGAGCCACACTCCAAGTGACGATAGTCCAGATGACGAAGAGATTTACCCCTTCCTCATAGATGCACCCGATAATAGAGGGCAGCATGATTTTTGCAAGAATTTACTCGTAAATTTATTTGAACCCGGAATCAGTCCATGCAAAGCAGAATTCCCAGATGTAAAAATCAAAAGAGAAATTATTGAACATTATTTGAAAGACATATGTAACTTAACACAACAATATGGAATCTACACCATAGAATTCAGCACACCAAATACGAATCATCGTAAATATGTAATTCAAACAGATGATCTTGAATTAGAAATTTCAAAAGTATTTCTAGAATATATCCAAAGCATACAATATCATAATTCACAAAGAGCAAACTTTATATTCACTAATGAAGTTTTTGCAATATTATATACCTATATCTCTATATTAGAAAAAACAGAATTTCAAAGTATCTCACCAAATGAAACATCCAAACATACTAAAGTACGACAAGAAATCACATTATTTTCAACTTTTCTACATATAATCAAAGAAAATTTCACTAAAGACGATGTTTCACAACACACAAAACATGACTTACAAAAATTTTTGGCATGGTTTATAAAAGATTATTTCACACATAATTTAGACTTAATTTCACAAGCAAAAAAAAATTTCATACCTCAAAATTCAAATGATGACACTGCCATTACAGAACAATCAGATTACGTTTGGGACCCTGAATGGTCTCATCCTACACTTATAAATATCCCACAATCCATCTCAAGTCAAGCAATAAGTACAATATCTTATCACAGAGATTATGTAAAATTAATACCACTAACCATTGATGCAACACCATTAAACTACAATACATTTTTAGCTGACACACGAAATAACAGTTTAAATTCGACCGTCATACACAATGAAAACCTTAAAGGAACTAGAAGTCTTACACAACAAGATATTCAAACACCATCACACTTCATAAATGAAGAAATTGTCCAAACAACAACAACTACACAACAAAGTATTTCACCAATACACCCAAATTTAACAACACCAAAAAATACAAATACTTCACTGACACAAGTAACCTTACAATTAACCGTTAAACCTTCGGTTGCTCCAAAATATTCACATATGGATTATCAAACATATAGACCCATGACAGCACCGTCAAAAAAACAAAAATCATTCACAAGAAACACCTTCGCAGAACATAATTATAATTATGCTCACAAACAAAGAACAAATCAACCCCCACGAAAAAATAATAATCATGTATGTTCTCACTATTGGGATAACTCAATGACAACAACCAACTCAGTAAAATTTCGAACTAATTCACATCCTCCACAGGATCATAGTGAAAATTACCCATTCTTAAACAAAAATAAAAATAAAAAGCAAGCACCTCATCATACGGATTATTTATCATCTGATGATGATTATTTACAACCAGACATTTTTGCACCATATACCCAAGAATATCGCACACAAGGATCGCGACGACCTCATACATATAATAGTATTTTTTTCTCCAAACCCAACAGATACACGAAATCAAAAACCAATACATATGCCAAATCCAACTAATACACAATCTTTTCAACCGATTCAACCACAAAATTCAATGACTATGCACTCATATCAACCAACTCAAATGCAAAACGAAATACCGCTTCCATATTACCTTCAGCAACACGAAATAACAAAAATTCAACTTTCAAATTTTTCGCAAATGCCAAATGCCGTAGAATCACTACAGATGACAATGAATCCATACCTCATGGGTGGATCATCAATAACATCTAATAAACCACTAATGGTATTTACAGGAACAGATCCTGATTATTCTGTAGAAGATTATTTAAATGCAGTAACAGCAAATTTAATTTTCAATATAGTACCTGAACCAATTAATACGCCACTACATCAAAACTGGATACATAGACGCACAGCATTGATATAAACAATCTTAGATGGCGCAGCTCAAAAATGTTTTTCAGTATTACCTATCGAAATAAAATCAGATTGGAAAAGATTTACACAAGAATTTTCAAAAATGTTTGACTCCGAAAGAAATAAACAACACCAAAGAGTTTTATGTAATGAAATTCGCAGATTACCAAATTAAACCATCAAACAATTAGCAGTACGTATCGAAACACTAGTTCGAAAAGCATATTCACTCAATACACATGACTATAAAAACACAAAAATGACAGAAATTTTAATGATGACCTTAACACCTCAATTAAGTAAAATAGCAATAAAAAAGAGAGCATCTCATCCTTCCTCAATTCGAGAGCCAGATCTAGATTTTC